CTATTATTTCATAGCTGATGGTATAATGATGATCTGGAGAACTAGTAAGATTACTTTTGATGAACTGGGTTTTAGAAAACAGTAATCTGTGCATTGTTTTGGGATTTTCAAGAGGAAATGGGTTTAATGTGATTTTCATTATAAAATGGTTAAGATACAGATTTCCACAGACATTGATACACTGATACCCAGCCCTCCATAATGTAGATGATGAACTTAACTTTCAAAAACAGGTTTTTGTGATGAAAATAATGCATTCCTTCATTTGACAAAAAAGAAACAAGCAAACCAACTTACTGAGGCTCCCACTTATTGCCATTAGGTCCTTGGGATACAGTAATGCATAGGTCAGAAAGATATCTGCTATAAGTTTTCTTGTATTATATTGGGGAAAGGAAACTGATAATAAGAAACCAAATAAACAAGATACAATTTTAGATGATAAGTTTATATGATAGTGAGTAATAACTTGTTTGCATAAAAAAATTCTACTATCTAAAATATCACTACAAATACTTTAGTGTTTCTCATTGTAATATATGTATGAAAGCATAATAAATAAATGAGATACTATTACATAGTTTTGTAACCTACTTTTAATTAACAATATACAACATTGTAAGTATTTTTTCATGGTATTATACGTTTTTCCACAAAACTGTTTATTTGGCTACCCAAAACATACTATTTTGAATGGATATAACATAATGTATTCACATTAATCACCCAGATTAGCCCTCATTTTACCTCATTACAATCAAGGATTTAATGAACACCCAGGTTGGTAAATCTTTGTGTGCATCTATAATCGTGTCCTTAGAATAAATTTCTTGCATCAAAACTGTTGGTTCAAATGGTATTCAAATTTCAAAAATTGGGCCAGTCATGGTGACATATGCTTGTAATCCCAGCGCTTTGGCATGCTAGGACTGGCAGATCATGTGAGCCCAGGAGTTTGAGACCAACCTGGGCAATATGGTGAAATCTGTCTCTACAAAAAGTAGAAAAGATTAGCCACACATGGTGACATGTGCCTATAGTCCCAGCAAACCTGGGAGGCTGAGGTTGGAGGACTGCCTGAGCCCGGGAGGTTGAGGTTGCAGTGAACCATGATCGTGCCATTGCACTCCAGCTTGGGTGACAGAGTGAGACCCTGTCTCAAAAAAAAAAAAATTCAAAATGTGATGTACTTTTTTAAATAGTCTTCCCAAAATGCTGTATAATTTAGCCTCCCTCTGACTGTTGATGAGGTCTCTGGTTCATCTCATCCTTAACAGCACCGAATAATATCTTCCCTCCCCAAAAACTTTATGGGAGGAAAAAAACTCATTTTCATTTTGACATCTATTATTTTTCTCTTTTTTTAAGGCACAACTCACATATGAAATTCACCATTTTAAAGTGTACAACTCAATGGTTTTCACTATTCACAAAGTTGTGTAAGAACCATCACCACTACCTAATTCCAGAACTCTTTTCTAGCTTGGAAAGGAAATCCCACACTCATTAGCCGTAACTCCCGATTTCCCTCTCCTTCAACCCTGGCAGCTACTAAGCTGCTCTCTGTTTCTATGGATTTGCCTATCCTAGGGATCTCATATAAATGGAATCATACAACACGTGGCCTTCTCCGCCTGGCTTCTTCCACTAAGCATAATGTTTTCAAGCTTCATCCATGTTGTAGCATGTAACAGTAATTCTTTTTATTGCCAAATAACTTTTCATTGTATGGATCTTCCACATTTGATTTACTCATTCGTCAACTGATGGACATTTGGCTTGTTTCTACTTTTTGGTTATTACGAATAAAGCTGCTATGAACATTTATGTACATGTTTTCATGTGAATATATGTTTCCAATTCTCTTGGCTGCATACCTAGGAGTGGAATTGCTGCCTTGTCTGGTGACTGTTTAATTTTGGAGTAACTGTCAGACTGTTTTTATATTGACTACACCATTTTACCTTCCCACCAGCTATGTCTGAGGGTTCCACGTTTACCACATCTCAACACTTGTTTTTCGTTGTTGTTATTTCTTAATTACAGCTAGTCTAGTGGGTGTAAAGTGGTATCCCATTGTTGCTTTGATTTGTATTTTTGTATTTCTCTCTATCCTTTTTTTTTTTGGAGATATGTGTGCCTTTATTAGCTGAGCTACTACTTGAGGGGGATGAAGCGGGAGGAGTGGGTGGCCCCGACAGCCCGGCCGGCAGCGCCTCACGGGCTTGTAGGTGATGGAGAACTCGCCCAGGTAGTGGCCGATAATCTCTGTCTTGATCTCCACCTACTTGGAGGTCTTGCAGTTGTAGACGCCCACCATGCTGCCCACCATCTCGGGCAGGATAATCATGTCTGCAGGTGCGTATCACTTCCGGCTTCTTCATGGGGTGGTGGGCGGGGGGCCCCCCCCTTCGTGGCCTTGCGCAGGCGCTTCAGCAGCGAGTGCTGCTTCCGCCACAGGCCCGGGGTGCGCTGCCGCCGCTGGCGCGCACTGTACAGCTGCATCAGCTGCTCGTAGGACATTGTCCAGCAGCTGGTCCAGGTCCACACCGCGGAAGGTCCGCTGCTTCTTCTGCTCGACCTCTGCCATCTTGCCGGATCCTCAGAAAAGCTGATTTGTATTTCTCCAGTGACTAAGGATGTTGAGTCCCTTGTCATGTGCTTATTGGCTATTTGTATATTTTCTTTGGCAAAGTATCTGTTCAAATCTTTCTCCCATTTGAAAATTAGATTGTTTGTTTGAATTGTAGAGAATGTAAATTATTTTGCTGCTTGTAACTGCTCCCCAAGCTTCTGGATACCGTTGTTAAAAAATATTATGACTGGCCGGGCGCGGTGGCTCAAGCCTGTAATCCCAGCACTTTGGGAGGCCGAGGCGGGTGGATCACGAGGTCAAGAGATCGAGACCATCCTGGTCAACATGGTGAAACCCCGTCTCTACTAAAACTACAAAAAATTAGCTGGGCATGGTGGCGCGTGCCTGTAATCCCAGCTACTCAGGAGGCTGAGGCAGGAGAATTGCCTGAACCCAGGAGACGGAGGTTGCGGTGAGCCGAGATCGCGCCATTGCACTCCAGCCTGGGTAACAAGAGCGAAACTCCGTCTCAAAAAAAAAAAAAAAAAAAAAATATATATATATATATTATGACTTAGATTTTATCCCCGTGCTCTTGGAATCCTCAGGTTTCTGTGACACAGAGTTGAAGCTAGAGTTCAATCATTCTAGGGGACACTCAGCACCACTGTAGCACCTAGAGAGATCATCTGAAGGGAGTGATTTTTGTCTCAACAGATGGATTTTCAGTGAAGATGAAACTAATCCATTTTGGAGAGAGATGTTAGAGAACCGATGGGGTTCAGGACATGCTACCCCAAAATAATGGTACCTTGGCACATGAGAAAACAGCAGAAGCAAGAGGGTTACTTTCACTTTACCCAGATCTTCTCTTCTGAGGCAGGCTCATGAGACTTTCATTCCAGAAGTGCCTTCCCTATATCTGGAGGAAAGGGATATCCTTATCTCTGAAGACACAGGTACAGGGAGAAGAATCTGAACAAATAGGCCTTTCCAAGTAAGTCTCCCCAGTTTATCACCATTAGATCATAGACATTTGTCCAATCATACCTCTCTATGACTTCCACTTCTTTATCAATCCTAGCCTTAAAAATACACAGGTTTCTCTATTAACTTTGGGTCTTCATTTCTAAAGTCTCCTGTTTTGTGTAAAACTTATATAAACAAATTAGTATGTTTTTCTCTTGTTAATGTGTCTGTTGTTACAGAGGCTTCAGCCATAAACCTAGTAATGAATGAGAAAAATTTTTTTTCCTTCTCTACAGAACATGCACTAGCTGCAAGGAGAAAGAGGAGTATGCCTGGTTTTAAAGCTTCAGATAATTTACTCACACTCCTATATTTAACATTCTAGAAATGCATCTGGAGTTAAAGCCCTCTTGGAGATTTGAGAAAAATGCACTTACGAATGACCTTTTGAAACCTAATGTTTCTACAAGGAGGCATTTGCAACTCCTTCTAGAAGCTTCCATAAATCTCCTGCCTTCCCAGATGAGTTACCCCTTGTCTGAAATGTCACAGCACACAGTCTTACCCTTCTATGGTCTAGTTACTTTCTACTGGTATTTGTGTTACTCATGCTACCCATCTTATCTCCCTCACTATATGAGACACAGTAATTTTCAGTAGGATATAGCAGGTGCTACAGATGATTAGCAAGTTTGCAAACTTGCCAATCATCTGTAGCACCTGCTATATCCTACTGAAAATTACCAAAATGCAATTAACTTCAATTTTACATTTGGGATTTACAGAAATTAACTCTGTCTCCAAGAAATGTGTTAACAATTTAGCTAGGGCAAATGCCAGCTCCGAGTTAAGACATTAATGCGCATCTATCGCGATAAGGATTTGAGCCTCATCCTCATCTTTCTGTGTTGTCTAACTCAAGATAGGTCAGTAAAGAAAACCTTTTCCTCTTAGCAACCCAATCTGCTTCCCTTCTCTGGCCTCTTTCTTTCCTTTTGTTGGTAGACGACTTTAGCCTCTGTCCTTTATTTTTAAACAGTTCATGCCCCACGTGTACCCCTCGTCTTTTGGTGATTTAGAGATTTTCAAAGCCTCTTCTGACAGAATCTTTCCTGGATTCCGACTTCTCTACTTTGGGGTGGAAACGGCTTCCCCATTTTGAAACGCTAGCAAGGGAAAAAATGGGGGAGAAAGTTGCATTTAAACTTTTAAAAGTTGAGTCACGGCTGGTTGCGCAGCAAAAGCCCCGCAGTGTAGAGAAAGCCTAAACGTGGTTTGGGTGGTGCGGCGTTGAGGGGGGGTGACTTCTGGGGAACAAGGGACCGTGGAGCCCCGGGACTGTTGGGGTCCTGCCGCGGCCTCCGGCGCGCCCCCCGCCCCTCCCCCACCCGGCTCTCCCCGGGACAGATGTCGCGCTTGCGTGTTGTGGCCGAAGCGCCGGACTCAGAGGCCGGCCCCAGAAAACCCCGAGCGAGTAGGGGGGCGGCGCGCAGGAGGGAGGAGAGCCGGGGGCGCGGGTGGCTGGTGGGTGTCGGGGGTGGAGATGTAGAAGATGTGACGCCGCGGCCCGGAGGGTGCCAGATCAGCGGACGCGGTGCCCGCGGTTGCAACGGGATCCAGGGCGCTGCAGTTTGCTAGGCGGCTCTCCCCAGGCGCCGGCCGCGGAAACACCCTTCCCTGAACCCCAGCTTTCAGGCCGCCGGCTCGCCGCGCACCAGGAGCCGGCGGACAGAAGAGCCGCCAAGCGGCGCGAGGCTGGGGGCCCGCGGGCGCGGCCGCGCGCTGCCGGGCGGGAGGCTGGGGGGCCGGGGCCGGGGCCGTGCCCCGGAGCGGGTTGGAGGCCGGGGCCGGGGCCGGGGGGCGGCGGCTCCCCGCTCGGCTCCAGCGGCTCGGGGTCCCCGGCAGGGCCCCGGAGGGACCATGGCAGCCGGGAGCATCACCACGCTGCCCGCCCTGCCCGAGGACGGCGGCAGCGGCGCCTTCCCGCCCGGCCACTTCAAAGACCCCAAGCGGCTGTACTGCAAAAACGGGGGCTTCTTCCTGCGAATCCACCCCGACGGCCGAGTGGACGGGGTCCGGGAGAAGAGCGACCCTCACAGTGAGTGCGGGCCCATTGACCCCGCCCCATTTCCATTTCCCGGGTCCTCGCCCGCTGTCTCCCCTCCAGCCTGCACTCTCCTCCCGGATCTTCATTGCGACCCTAGCGGTCCGTGTGGTTTCTGGCCGCGCGGCCCTCAGCGGTTTCGGGTTCACCACTCGCCCCCTCCTTCCCTAGCTGCGGCGTAGGCCCGGGCGTCCCCCGGGCTTTGGGGTGTTCCAGTTTGCCCTGTAAACCAGTCTCCCCGGCCCGGAGCCGCGGCGCGCCGGGCCCTCGCGGACGGGCTCCCTTCCCGCAGACAACCTGTCGCGTCGGGGATGCCCGCGGCCCCGCCGTGCAGCTCTGGCCGCTTGTGTGTCTGCTGCGGGGGACCGAGTGTGTTTCCCTCAAAGACAGGACGGACCGCAGCAGCACAAAACGGTCTTTACTGGAAAAACACCTTCCCAGAGTCCTGCCCTTAAATTCCGACTCTGGAAGAACCGAGGCATATGGCACACTCCTCTCACCCACTCAGTTTTATATTTTTCCGAATTGACGAAAGCTGAAAGAGCAAAAACAAAACCCAACCAGGCAAGAAATCCAGATGTTGTTAATAACTTGCGACAGATTTGTTTCAGTAGTGAAAAGAGGTGCAAACACTTTAATCTTCCACCTGCAGTGACTAGCTTTAAGACCTTGGGCCAACGTGTAACCCCAGAGCCGGTTTCCACATCCCTAACGTGGGGCTAATACCTACCTTGCAGCAGGTTTGAGGATGAAATGAGAATTGCAGTTTTGCTTTCTCTAAGAACCAATGTTTATGATTCTAGAGAGAACACTGGCCTAAATCAGGGGTTCCTGGACTTTAGGAGACTCCCTAAGTCTGGAGTAGGGGCTGAAGATTTGCGTTTCTAACATGTTCCCCGGGGATGCTGATCACATCTTACTTTGAGAGCCACTGGTCTAAAGGAAGGAAGAAGAAAGTGGCGTAAGATGAGTCAATTTACAACACTGATGGAATTTGAAGTGAGAGAAAGAGGACTAGAATATATTTTAACCTGTCCTCTGTAAGTGTAGGTAAAGATATGTTTTAAAAGTTGTGTGTTCTGGCGTTCCTTCCTTTATGGGTTCCAGGTGGAGAATCTGATTCTCTCTCTGCCTGAGAAAAGACCCACAGGTGTCTGAGCGCCACTCCCCTGTAGTTCTGCCTTTGTCTTGGGATGCTGACGGGATGTCAAGAGCTGGGAGGAGGGAAGAGGAGAAAATTCTGCAAACAAACTTGAATTGGCAGAAGAAATACAGTTTTATATGAGCTGTGTCTTTATTGCTTCCAAAATAGCAACCAGCAAGAAAGGCAAGTCTTTTAATTTTTTTTCAGGCCTGCCATAATTTAAAAATTAAATCACTTTATCCCGTAAAAGATGCTTGCAACCTATTACATGGGTTTGTGCTATTTCTCTATTCTGGTAACTTGAGTATCTGTTTCACAAAATTATCTTTGTGATTGAAATTTGTTATGCAGCTGTCTGCTAGGCCATCTCAGCTGACGAGGGCAAAGTGTTCTGTGTCCCCATTAGTTTTGTTCTTTTCTAGTATCACAAACTATTAATTAAAAAGCATGTATTATGACCAGAGGACAGAATAATTCTCTAAGTAATATTTGGGGCTTCCCCTAATACTCTTGTTTTCAAAGTCTGTTAGTTGCTGAATTCTTTTTTTCTTTGAAGATTTTGATACCGATTCTTCTTAGAATAAGACTATATAGAGGCTAGCCAATGGACATAATTTTGAATTACATACCATATTACTACCCTTTTAAAAACAGCTGTTAAGTTTTTCTTCCTAACTGTGAGCTGGGTTTTCATTTGTGTAATCTTTAACTCTGTGGTTCTCAAGTGATTTTGCCTCCCAGGGGATATTTGACAGTGCCTGGAGACAGTTTTGGTTACCCTAACCTGGAAGGGTGCTACTGGCATCTAGCACGTAGAGACCAGGGATGCTGCTAAACTCCTACAATGCACAGGATAATATCCCCAACAAAAAAATTTTTGACCCCAAATGTCATTAGTGCTCAGGTTGAGAACTCTGCCAACTTTGTAACTAGCTAAGGACAGGATGTTAAAAGGGAAAAGAAGAATAATCCATCCAGACTTTTAGAGACTACTAAATTTTTAAAAAATACTTTTATTTCTATAGGGTTTTGGAGAACAGGTGGTAATTGGTTAGTTACATGAGTAAGTTCTTTAGTGGTGATTGTGAGATTTTGGTGCAGCAGTCACCTGAGCAGCATACATTGAACCCAGTTTGTAGTCTTATCCCTCCCCAACTTCACACCCTTTCTTCCCAAGTCCCCAAAGAGACTACTCTTTTTTTTTTTAAAAAAAAAAAAAAAAAAGGATACCTGTACCAGGCAATAGACTGACAAAAGTACAAAACTAAAAATGACAAATTTCATCCATTTCTATATAGCCCAACCGGAACATAAATTTAAGCACAGTTATATTTTCTCACATGCTGAATGTATACTGATAGTTGACCAAACCAGGAGGAGACACCCCAAAACAAACCAAACTGACCAGCAAACATGGAGAAAAGTTAATAGTAGCCACAATTTCCTACTGCATTATGGCTCAGATTTCTAGACCTGTTTGAAAAGTTGAAGGAGTCCATGGTCTCATTCCTCAAATGGTTTTGTCCAATTGACCAGAAAATCTATCACTGGAAATTTTTTTGGCATGACACTTTCTGCCTACGTTTTCTAAACTATGGATAACTTTTGAAAGGCCAAGTTCAGCCATTGTCAGATTTCGACATTTAGTATGCATTAAATTGTGAGTGCAATTTCTTCCTCAAAAGCTGGCCAGAAAGACTGGAGTTTGGGGAGGGATGCTTTGAAGACTGTGATATAAATGATGAGGCCCTGGAGAGGTGCAGGGGAAGAGGAGGCAAGGTGCGGGAGCCGTGAGGTAGGAAAGAGGAAAAGTTTCTCAACGGAGAGGTAGGAGAAGATGACAGAACACAAATGCTTCTGATTTTTCAGTGTTGCTGAAGGTCAGCTGTGCTTCCCCCCTGGGCATTCTGAATTTTACTCAAAAGGGCCCATTTTTTGGCATTTTTCTCGTCCTGGAATAATCTTCATTTGACAGGAGTGTCTTGATAAAAACAAGATGTTAAAAGTGATTATAGAGTTTCTCCTTCTCCAGCATGTGCACTGTATTCCCGCCTTCCTTTTGGCATCCTTAACTTTTGGCAGGCCTCTTTCCATGCGGTGGGAATGGATGATATTAAGTACATGCTCTAAAGTAGCAAGCCATGTAAAAACATTGAGAAGAGAGAACACTTTATCCCAAGCAGCATGTACAACATGTGGTATAGAGAGTGAAACGTATGCTGCTTATGTACACTTAGTGTTCAGTTTATTCCAGGTGCTCTTACTTAGGACAAAAAAGGTAGTTAGAAGTGCTAGATCTACCCTTGGGCTTCTCCCAGGAGGTGACTGCCTGTCTGCCACACTTCTTTGCTTCCAGACTTCAGAGGACGCTGAGACTTGGAAAGGCAGAGGGACCTGCCACTCCAGTGTGGAGCCGGGGTGGCTCATAGGTGTGCCTGACCGCTGGGCTCTTTGCCATTGCATGTGTTCCATGCAAGCCCAAGCATAAAAACATGGACTTGTGAAATTCAAAGGGAGGCCTCAGACCTTCTGGTTCACCCATCTCTTTTTATAGAAGAGGATACTGAAACTCAGAAAAGTAATTAATTACCCAAGTTCACCTGTTGATTTCCTCGTTTGTTATCCTGAACAAGCTTCTTACCACCTGGCCTTCTCTTCCTGCCATCCCTCAGCCTCAGTGAGGTCTTCCATTCCATCGTAGAGCATGTCCTGCTGGACTCTGCTTCGGTTAGGCTTCCTCCATTTCAGGGTAGTGAGATACCAGCCCCTCTGGGGAGTTTTTACTAGTTTACGGGTGACTCAGGTTGATTTCCTGGGGTTTCGGATAAAGTCAACTTTCCGTCTCTTCACTGCTGCCTTTGGAGTAAATAGAACCATTGATTTAATAATATATGTACTAGATTCTCTCCCACCACCTCTCTTTGGTAACATCTGGCAAGACTAATTTTACTTAATGAACACGGTATTTACTGTACTAAATATTGTGTGCTGCAAACAAATGAAGTCAGAAGCTAATAGTTCATTTAATTCTGGAAATCATGTAATCAGTACAGCAATGAAAGGACAATTCATGAGTCATAGATATTACCCCACCTTAGGAGCCTTTTAAGATGAGTTTGATGCCAAGTGACTTCAGCCTAGAAAAGGCAATATCCCCTCATGACATGCCCTGAGGGCTTTTATTTGTTTATAAAATGGCCATTATGTAATTAGACTTTGACAATGGTGTAACAATTGGGTTCTAAGTATTCTCATTTTGATTTATGATGCCATTTGATGTGGAAGGCCATGATTTTAAAGTTTAATTAGAAAATAAAATGTTACAGATGTAATGAACAAAACAAGAATCGTTCTTTAAATATTATAAACATAAAACTAAGTTTCTTCATCTACACACTGATTCTGAGAACTCATCAGTGATGTAGAAAAAGACAATTTAAGGTCTCACATTATTGGAACTACTATTTTAAAACCATGAAATGTGTGTATAAGATGGTAGTTACACATGTGCTGTGGTCTTTGCTTGTTTTTCTAATTCTAGTGTTTGTTGATTTTCCAAATACCTTGCTTGGGCTCCTTTCTCCTGTAGCACACATCTGTAAGAAAGCTGGCATGGGGTAAAAGTCTATGACCATGAAATGGAGCAAGGCAAATTTGTATCTTTGGTACACAAATCCTTTTTTTTTTTTTTTTTTGAGAGAGAGAGTCTCACTGTGTCGCCCAGACTGGAGTGCAAGTGGCACAGTCTTGCCTCACTACAACCTCTGCTTCCTGGGTTCAAGCAATTCTTCTGCTTCAGCTGGGATTACAGGCATCCGCCCAATACCTGGCTGATTTTTGTATTTTTAGT